GCTTCCATTGTACTATCTTGCTGAGATGAAATTGTACAACCAAGAAATTAGTGAGCAAGTACATACGCTTTCCAAACACAGTGAGTTGGCTTACCTCTCTCATTGACTGCTGATTTTGCGTAACGGCGCTACTGTATAATCCAGCCTTTGAGGGTTCGACGCCACACAGTCATTACCCATTGGATCTCATCGACAAGTGAAGAAAAGTCCGTAATTCCCCGTCTATTTTACACCGCGAGGGTGCCTCCTTGCTGTGGATTTGGCTCGCCGTTACACTTGGCAGCCAATTCGTTCCATGCTATCGCTTGGGGTCCCGAGTAGTGTGGGGCGTCTCTCGTCAGTGGATGAACATCAAGTGGGGACCAACGCCTACCCGTTGCTCGTGATAGAGGCCATTGGCGGTGAGCCTTGAGAAACATAATCTGGCCACTGTGTTTGAGTCGCTTTATCATAGGCACGTCGGTATCACGTTCCCGACAACATCCACGGGACTTCCGAAGGTGAACAGAACGGTGAAATGGAAGCGGACAGTTGAACCTATCCTCCAACGGGGCCGCTCTGTCTGCTTTGTCTAACAGTATTCATGACGTAACTGCGCGGGGAGGCCACATCTTGGTCATGACCACCAACGCCATCAACCAGCTGGATAACGCTCTCCTATGCCTAGGGCGCATTGACATGGAAACTGACTTCGGCTATGGCTGTCTAGGGACAAATCGCACGTCCTTCACGCAGCCGCCACCAGGGACGTCCTGGGTGTTCTGGACGCAGGGGAACAGTTTCGCCCCATCCCTTGCCAACTTGAGCGGAGTAGACGTCCGATTATATCGTCCATCTATCGGCTATATTCGCAGAGGATGTTCCACCTTATCGGTACCGTGCAGCAGAGGTTCAGAATTACCTTTGGCAGTACAGAAATCGTCCTATAGGAGCGGTCAGCGATGTTTTTGGCTTCTCAAGCAAACCACAACCGCAGTCCCACTTGGACATCGTACGAGCAAAACGTATCATCATTTCGTTTCCCTGGCTCACCAGATTACTTGTGTGCAACGGCCATCTCCATAGCATCTGGGTGAGTGCCGTGATCATGTCCCAGGGCAGAGCGCACAACGATGGGGCAAACAATCAGCCCATATCCTTCTCTAACAAGCTTCAAATAATAGCAAGTCTGCATACTGGGACCGTAGTTGAGGTGCACGCACGGAAAGGGAGACACAACCTATCATGCGTGATCGTTAGAAGAAACACTGGCCTGCATTTATCCGATATCACTCACCCGCTTCCCGTCAAACGACGGAGCCGAGCTGAAGGCAGTGAGGCGACTCCGAATTGGATGTCCTTCTAAAGTCGGCGTCTCTGAACCCGAAAAATCGAAACTTTCTGCCTACTTCGGGCAGGTGTCTGGACTCATAACTCAACGGCATATTGCATCAGATCCCGACGAACACACGTATTCGCCTGGACAACGGAAGAAGAGGTCCGGACTGGTATACACAGATTCCCGGAGAGAACATGAGCATGCCGTTGCAGAAGCGGTGGAGAAGAAGCGGTGCAGTAGGAATTCCATACGCAAATCTCGGGAGAAGAACCAGAATATGTTCCCGGCCGGAATCGCGGAGGATGCATCCTGCCCAATCTTTAAAAAGAACCAAAGATCTATAAAAATTGGTCGCTTACCTGCAGAAGCACCTCCTAAACCGTAGCTCGTGGCAACAAGTCAAAACGGGCACTTGTTGTCAATTGGTGGGTACACAGGCTTGCTGCAACTCCCACTTAAGCAAACTGGTATCTGTAAGAAAGGCTCGGGTGTACTGTTGAAATATCTCCTGTCCCAACATTACCTTATCCTCACTGGGCCTGGAGGTGTCAACTCGGCGTCAAACCCGGTCAGCCTTCTCACTCCAGTAAGAGGACTAGGGAAGCGTAGGAAATGGAAAGTCACATCTATGGCAATCCCTTACAGTGCTTTGAGAAAGAGGATGGTTAGAAGACGGGACACTGTCGCACGAAAGCTGGCTGCCGTTGATGGGTCTATGAAGGTGACTTTATACACCGCGCACTTCGATGCCAAGCGTGATGCTCTATACCTGATTAGGAACACCATACTAGCCGGGCAATTTTACAGATATCAATGTCCCGCAACTTTTCATGGCGCGTACTCGTCCCAAAGAAGACGGTTAGATGGAATACCTGACCGTGCCCCCCGGTGAAGTTTTTCGCTACTTTTCCACCAGCTCCACCTGCCTTTTCCCTTAGTCTGCAGGACATCCAGATCCCCAGGCCCGGGTTATGATAGACCGTGATCCGGCATCTTAAAGAGCCCACCACATTTTGGATGAAAAACAGATGGTCGTCTATACGTCCTACCAATCTTGAGGCCGTATTATGATGCTGGCCAAATGAAGGTGTAGAATCGGGGTGTTCCAGATTCGGTGCCCAGTGAAAATTCGTCGAAACGAAGAGGCAACTTTGTCTCTTAACTTGACCGTTCGCGTACCAGTAGGGAAGCCGTGGTTTCAGTCAAACACAGCCCTGGCTGGTCATCTTTAGGAATTGGCACCTTGTTCGAACCATATACCTACCTCTTTTTCTGACCCAACCGGGCTCTGCCTTGCACAGAACCTGGGTAGAGTACCTTGTTGGTGCGAGGTCTTTCACCCAGCTACCAGACGGGCACTCTTCACACGGACACTCTTCGAGGGCCTATTGTGCACTGCCATCACCCAATTGAATGGACACATCCTCCGGCTGAACATTATACTTTGCCAAGTCACTTGAGATGAGGAGAGTTTGGGAGGTTGATTATTGCCTCCATGGAAAACCCGCGCATCAATCTCGTTGATATAGCCGAGGTCAACAATTGACGGTGATTCGGAGCACGGAGGCTTCCAACGAGAGCTTTCCTCAAACCCCCGGCCATCGAGCTGAGCTAACCTAATTCAGTGCTGTAGCAGGTCAGGTTGACTAGGCTCGCGTCTTGTGTGGTCAAAAATTCATCCATCATCAACAGTCAACGCAACATTCTCTTATCTGACCGAGCCAGCTACGCATGAACTTCACTATCAAAACCATGAATATGACCCGAAATAGAACCAACGCAGGTGAGGCATGTAGAAGTTGATAACATAGGTGCTGCAACAGCACGGACTATCATAGCTGAAAGCAGCATGACTACTCATGATAGTATGAGATGAAACCTAGAGAGTGCAGAGTGGGGAAATTCCATTGCTGCGAGCACAACCGCCTGGCCCTCTAGATGGCAGTATCCACCAAGACAATCACAGCGACAACTTTCTCTGTTCTCCAACGGACAGGTTCTGAATGACTGAGTTATTCCATCTCGAGTACATGGTACATACTGTACCAGCCAGTATGTTGCCCACCGTTACCCTCTGCTTACCATTCGGTTCTGGCTGGTCGCATGGAGACGTCCAGGGCTCCACCTCATGATGGAGATTTTACCCCTTTCGTTTTGACCTTATCCGTCCATAGAGTAAACCGGAAGATCATGTTCTTTGCCCCCATGCCAAGGGCAGTATCTCCAGAACCACCAATTGCGCAATCATACAAGACCTGTGTCAACGCCTCAGAACGGGGAATATGCGAGAATCAAACAAGAAAAACCCACTACGGGGCTTATACCCCTGAATAGTGAGCAAGAAGACCTGAGTGGTGGAGCTGGAACTAAGAAAGCTCTAACAAACCTTGTTTGAGCTGCCGGTCACCGTTGCCGAGGAATATCTATTCATTAGACCCGGGTCAGCGAGACAGGGAAATCACCCATCCGACACAATGCCATCTCATTCGTCCACAGCAAAGGGCGGAGATGAATTTGCATTCTTGTCGAGGGTCGCTCTCTTCTTTAGTCTGAGGGCAAAGCGAGGGCCCAATCAAAAGGCCTGATGCAGAGTAATGAAATTCAGGTTAAGTGGTGCTGGGTGATCTGAATCTGTTTCATTGAGTTTCAATTCTTTGTTTCAAACAGTCTAGAAGATCAGAAGCTCCCCAAGGGTTTTTCAACCATTTGACATTCTCGCACACGATACGGGATATGACGTCATGGGTAACAAATAGCGGTTGGGTACAGGCAGAGGTGCTGTAGAAACTGGAATGTCTGACGAAAGAAGGAACAGACAATCATGGTGCTCTGTTGGACCACGGTTGCCCGACTGTTTCCAAGCGGCAAAGCCCACTTGCGCAGACATGCAACCCGTTTTCCAAGTATTTCGGTGTACCTTGAGACGCCTACAGTATTGACCTGCGGCGCGGTCCCACCAGTCGCGCACATCTTCACCCTGCCATGTCCACGCCGATCATTTCATTTCCCTAGTCGGCCCCGTCTCTGATTGAGGACCTGACGTCTTGGGGCCGAAACCCTTCGAGGGCATGGTCATTTCGGGAGGTAGAGTCGGATTTTGCTCTTCGTATATGGTCACCATGTGCCCCTGGACATTGGGTAGGAGGGAGCACACACAGAGATGACCGGATACCGTACCCGGCACTTTAACGACTCCTGAAGTTCCTCTGCACCACATGA